TGGGTGCTGTTACCAGTGAGCATAATCTGTAGATTGAGTGTTTTGGGAGTGTAATTAACTCTAAAACACTTCACAAAGCAATACAAAAGACTGGTTCCCAAAACATATCCTGAACCATATACGTTAGTAGTCACTCGGAGGATTCCCCCTTAACAAAAATTTCGCAAATAACGCTCTTTGTTCCTTTCAAAACTCTGTAATTTTTTTTTAAATTTCGAATTTTTTCTTCAAATTTCAAATTCAAATTTTTCAAATTCAAAATTTTAAAAAAACTTTCAAAAAAATTTCAAAATTTCAAAAAAGTTCAACATTTTTTCTAATTCGAATTACTGTGAAAAAATTTTTTGCGTAATTTTTCATGGATATTTAATTTTCTGCGAATATAAATAGTTCGAACGGTCTTCGAAAAGGCAAACAGAGGAACTGGAGCGTATGTAGCTCTGGATCGGAGGGCCTCAGAATATCCCAGTAAAATCACTGACATCCAACGGTCTTGGTATTCTGAATATTAAAATTGCCAACAGTGATCATTCATTTACACTTGCCTTGTATTTGGGATTTTTGATTCTGATTTGAATTTTCAGCGAGCGTGTAACTGCTTAGCATTGACTGCAAGGAGGCTGGCTTTCGATACGCAGCATCTGTCACCGTTCGCAATGAAGGCGCTGAAGCACGGGATTGATGCACCGGGCGGCAAACCGGACGATATTACACTTATTTTGTTGTTGATTGCGTGAGCGCTAATCCATCTCATGTATTATACCAGTTTTTCACTGTGTTATCATTTGATCTGCATTGCAAGTCGTTTCCCCTTCTTCTTCAAGTTGCCATTACTGTTGATGTATGTGTGTGTGTGTAAGGATGCTTTTTGATGATGCTATGTTAGGTTATTTGTTCAGTTGTAGCGGTCAGTAATTACATTCATTAGCCTAGTGGCTTTTTTCTGGGTACCCTGCTACTAAGGGCCAAAAAAACCGTACAAGGAAGTACCACTTAATCTTTGGTCTCAGTTTAAGTGGATTTAATGTTTAATGGGAAGGTCTTTCGTTTTTGGCATCAGAGTAGATTTTGAAGGTTTAGATACAATTTTCGCTCGGATTTATCTGCTTATGGCGTCCCGTGAAGGGTAATTTTCAAACGCCCTATATTCTATGAATTTCGAAATGATTTATAAGGTTACACTTTTTAACGGATGTGATTTTCTGACGACTGAATTGAGGCCTTTCTTACACTAATATTTGATTGATATGGTTGATGTTATGAATTGAATAGGTAGGGATTCTAGCGCAGATTCAAGGAGGGGAGGGAGTTCGAATGCTGGAAATTGGATAATTGAATTTTCTGATTTTTGGTAATTTTTGGGGCTCCGATCAACTTTTTGCGCACCAGCCGCTCATTGATTATTGCGCATATAGCAGCCAGTCAGCTTCCCTTGCATGTTCTGTCTGAATTGCATGCAAATTTTCGTCGCATGTTTTATCCATCTTTTGTGTATTTCTTGTTAAATGTTGCCAACAATAAAATTTATTGTTTAGTTGTTTGCTTAATACTGCGAAAAAGGCTCTACTTCTGCCAGATGATTTCACGACTTAATGGATCGAAACATTCCTTTTCGAATTTGTTTTTATCTTTCCCGATTTCCGCACAGACTCTTTACTTTGTTTGCTTCTTAATTTGAGGAGTATTCCACAATTGTAAATATTGTAAATTATAAATACGATACTAAATTATAAATATTAAGTTATCTAGAACTGATACTGACTTGCGTTGGGGCCGAGGACAGAAAGAGAACTACAAAAACTCGGCTCTTTGGGCAGAGAGGCGAGTTGTATTGATTAATGGGTAAGGAAGGGGGTATAGGGTTGGAGGTGGGAGAAGAGTTGGAACCGAGGGTGATGATTTAGGTCTCTGCAGTTGTAACGAAGGGAGAGGGAGAGGGAGGGGGAGTGAATTATTGACTGTAAAAGAGCCGGGACTCCTCTCGGAGATAGGGATCGGTAACAGAAAAGGGGCTTATGTGACTCCTTTTGAACTTTTCATGTTCAGCCTGAATCTAGACGCCGCAGGGGATTTAGCAGTCTTACCTAGGAAAAAGCTTGCTACCATGGTTTCAAGACCTGAACCCCAAACCCAAAAGTGAATGCATATTTGCTCGGTCGAGTCGAGTTTTAGTTATGCGTTTTGTGCAGTGTAACAGCAGTAGAAAACGCATATTGTCACGGGGTTGTGTGTGTGTGTGTGTGTGTGTGTGTGTATGTGTGTGTGTGTGTGTGTGTGTCCCGCATTTTGTTCCGAACTTTCAACTCGGGAACCACAAAAGCTAGTCAACTGGAATTTTGGTATAATATTTCGAAACAGCGGGCGACGCGGCAAATTTAAATTCAGCCTTCCCGTACCCTCGGGTAACACATACGGCCCCGTGAAAGTTTTTTTACGGGTAATTAAATATCTCGGGAACCACACAGTCTAGGGGGTGAAATTTTAGGATAATAACCCCTTGCCTATGCCCAACCTTGCCCATTTAAATTCAGCCTTCCGTACCCGTGGGTAACACGCACGGCTCCGTGAAAGTTTTTTACGGGTAAATTAATATCTCGGGAACCACGGAGTCTAGGAGGCTGAAATTTTAGGGTAGTGACCCCCTCCCCACCCTCAACCTTGCCCATCCAAATTCAGCGTTCCCGCGCTCTCGGGTATCGCCTACGGGCTAGCGAAAGTTCTTACGGGTAAATTATTATCTCGGGAACCACCGGGTCCAGGTAGCTGGAACTTTAGGGTAATGACCCCCTGCCCACGCTCAACCTTGTCCATTCAAATTCAGTATTCCCGCGCCCTCGGGTATCACCTACGAGCTAGCGAAAGTTTTTACGGGTAAACTATTATCTGGGGAACCACGGGGTCTAGGAAGCTGAAATTTTAGGGTAATGGCCCTCTGCCCACGCTCAACCTTGGTCATTCAAGTTCAACGTTCCTGCGCTCTTGAGTATCACCTACGGCCTCATGAAAATTCTGGCGGGTAAACTATTAACTCGGGGATCACGGAAAGATATTCATCCTTCAAGGTTTCCAATTCAGCTTTCATGCGCTGGTGCGTAAACTTTTTAATTATTTTCCAGTGTCTGAACTATTTTTGCATAGACTAAAGTACAAAGCAGTGAAAATCATTATTAGGCAATCGTTCGATGGGCTGAATTGCACAAAACGCATGATCGCACCAGCTAGTCTGGTGGGTGTTGCTAT